GCTGTTGGGCTAGGCAAGGGAACACAGCAAGTAAGTTGAACAGAAGACAAATGAATGAGAGTTTGTCCAAAAAAAACCCAAGAAAGGTAACTTTGTAGATTAGGGATTAAAAATTGGAGCAAAATTCCAATGGTTTCTTATAGAACAAATTCAGGCTGATGTTTGCACAGGGGAGGCATTGGCGTCATGAGAGTTTGGAACAGCCCTTGTGAGGACAGGAGAGAAAGGGGCTCGGGGAAGATAAGACAAAGCACTAGACTGGGGGCCAATGGCTCGAGGAGAGTATCAAGCGCCCTGCATGGTGGATTGTTCCAGCAGGCTGATGGAGCGCAGGGGGTTCAGAGGAACCGGTGATGCAGTCATGCTGTGGCTGGGGTTTACAAAAGGCTGAGTGACTCGCTAAAAGTCACACAGGGACATTTCCACAAACATCCTGGCCCCAAGTCCAGTGCTCTTTCTAATCTATAACAGGATCCTTCCTTTTTTTTTTTTTTTTGTTTTTTTGAGACAGGGTCTTGCTCAGACGCCCATGCTAGACTGCAGCGGCATGAACACTGCTCACTGCTGCTTCAACCTCCCAGGCTCAAGTGATCCTCCTGCTATAGCCTCCCTAGTAGCTGGGACTACAGGCACGTACCACCACACCAGATTAAAATTATTATTATTATTATTATTATTTTTTTTTTTTAGTAGAGACAGGGGCTCACTGAAACTGCCTTTGCAAAAAAATAATTTTTTTTTTTGAGACAGGGTCTCACTTTGCCCAGGCTGGAGTGCAATGGCGAGATCTCAGCTCACTGCAACCTCCACCTCCCAGGTTCAAGTGATTCTCCTGCCTCAGCCTCCCGAGTGGCTGGGATTACAGGTGTGCACCACCACACCCAGCTAATTTTTGTATTTTTAGCAGAGATGGGGTTTCACTATGTTGGCCAGGCTGGTCTCGAACCCCTGACCTTGTGATCTGCCCACCTTGGCCTCCCAAAGTGATGGGATTACAGGCGTGAGCCACCGCGCCTGGCCAACATGATTAAAAATTATAACCGAGAAAATTATGATGGTGAAAGAGATCTGACCTAACTGTCTCCATCTTGCTTCTAAACTCCAAACTGTCCTTCTTCTGGGTGTAGGCTGAACTAACTTTGGGAGCTTAGTTTATGGTTTAGTTCTGAAACAGACAACAGTCCTTTCCCAGATCAAACCCCTTTCCTGCCTGGAGACTAGACTGCCTTGGCAGGACTAGCAAATTGGCCACAAGATTACAAATTATGGTTTAGGAGTCATGCAGCTGGAGGCTGCAAGATTCTAAAACTCCCCAAATTGCTTTTCAGGATGACATCACTATTGTAAACCCTAAGATGAGTGCTTCAGATATTTTGTAGACCCTGTACTTGATGGATTGATCAGCTGGCATTACCCAGATTGACAAACTGGCTCATCTGGTTTTGTGGCCCCACCCAGGAACTGAGTCAGTACAAAAGGACAGTTTAGACTCCAAAGATTTCATCTCCAACCTGACCAATCAGCACTTCACTCACTGGCCCCTTACCCACCAAATTATCCGTAAAAACTCCTGTCCCCAAATTCTTGGGGATCTTGATTTGAGTAATAAGAAAACTCTGGTCTCCTGTACCACTGGCTCTGTGTGAATTAAACTCTTTTATTGCAATTCCCCCATCTTGATAAATTGGCTCAGTCGAGGCAGCAGGCAAGAAGAACCCATTGGGCAGTTACATCACTACGTTGCCCAGGTTGGACTGGAACTCCTGGGCTGAAGCAATCCTCCTGTCTCAGCCTCCCAAGCTGGGGGATTACAGGCATAAGCACCACACTCAGACAAGTCTGTCCTTAATCAGGATTCCTCTGGGTCTCATTCTCGTAAGCTGCAAAAGCCACTGGACCAGGTGATATTTTCAACCCCTTTAGGCTGCTGTAACTGTAGTTTCGGCTCCTGGATCTGCTTCCAATTAGTTACATTCCCTATCACTTTGAACAAGTCATCCCAACTCCCTGGCTTGTTTCTGTGACTTGATTATGGCCCAGAAGCCCGAGTTCTAAAGTGCTGATTCTGATGAGTGCCCATTTACCAGGCACTCTCATCCCATCATGGCATCTACTACAGCCTGGGAGTCTCTTCAGGTGTGCATTCTTATTAAGCACTAATGCCAATCAAATCACTTAAATTACATAGGTAATAATCCAACAGCACAGCTGGGCGAGATGGCTCACGCCTGTAATCCCGGCACTTTGGGAGGCCGAGGCGGGTGGATTACCTGAGGCCAGGAGTTCAAGACCAGCCTGGTCAATGTGGTGGAACCCTGTCTCTTCTAAAAAATACAAAATTAGCTGGCCATAGTGGTTCATGCCTGTCATTTCAGCTACTCAGGATGCTGAGGCAAGAGAATCGCTTGAACCCAGGAGGCGGAGGTTGCAGTCAGCCGAGGCCATGCCATTGCACTCCAGCCTGGGCGACAAGAGTGAAACTCTGTCTCAAAAAAAGAAAGAAAAAAGAAAGAAAGAAAAAGAATCCAACAGCACATCCAAACAAGGCTGAAAGTTGTAAAAGAAAATTACACTGTGTGGAAGGTTGTGTGTGTGTGTGTGTGTGTGTGTGTGTGTTTGTGTGTCTCTGTGTGTGTTTTAGAGATGTCTCTCTGTTACCTAGGCTGAAGTGCAGTGGTGCCATCATAGCTCACTGTGGCCTCCAATTCCTGGCCTCAAGCGATCCTCCCCCCTTGGCCTCCCAAGTAGCTGAGACAAGAGACTCGTGTCACCACACCCTGTTTTTTGTTGTTGTTGTTTATTTTGCTCTGTCACCCAGGTTGGAGTGTAGTGGGGCGATCTTGGCTCACTGCAACCTCCACCTCCTGGGTTCAAGCGATTCTCCTGCCTCAGCCTCCTGAGTAGCTGGAATTACAGGCACATGCCACCATGCTGGACTAATTTTTGTAATTTTAGTAGAGATTGGGTTTCACCATGTTGGCCAGGCTGGTCTTGAACTCTTGACCTCAGGTGATCTGCTCACCTCGGCCTCCCGCAGTGCTGGGATTGCAGGTGTGAGCCACCATGCCCGACCCACACCCTGTTTAAGGAAGGAAATACTGTTGAAAATGAAAATCTATACACAAAGGCTGAACCAAAGCAACGGGAATGTTATGTTGAGTGGCCGTCTAAAGTACATCAAAACCCTTCTGACCCTTTGTCTCAGAGCATTAAAGAAAATCACTCTGGGCAAACAACAGTTTCTTTGAATACTTTCACTTGTTTAACAAAACGCCAGAGAACCACAGATATAACCTATAGTTCCTTAGGGACTACAAGATCAGAGCTGACATTGTTACAGTTTTCATCACTGCACTTGCAGAAATGGCATCAGATGGATTTCCTTGGAAGAGGGGTATTGGGAAATGGCTTTTTTTTTTTTTTTTTTTTTTTTTTTGTTTTTTTTTTTTTTTGAGTTGGAGTTTTTCTTTTTTTCTCTCTCTTCTGTTCTCTCGCTGGTCTAGGCCATGTTAATGGAAAACTGGTGCTTAACACTTTTATTTATTTTTTTTATTTTTTTTTTTTTTGAGATGGAGTTTTGCTCTTTGGCTGTTGTTACCCAGGCTGGAGTGCAATGGCTCGGCCTCGGCTCACCGTAACCTCCGCCTCCTGGGTTCAGGCAATTCTACTGCATCAGCCTCCTGAGTAGCTGGGATTACAGGCACGCGCCACCATGCCCAGCTAATGTTTTGTATTTTTAGTAGAGACGGGGTTTCACCATGTTGACCAGGATGGTCTCGATCTCTTGACCTCGTAATCCACCCGCCTTGGCCTCCCAAAGTGCTGGGATTACAGGCGTGAGCCACCGTGCCCAGCCCTTTTTTTTTTTTTTTTTGAGTCTTGCTCTGTCGCCCAGGCTGGAGTGCAGTGGCGCAACATCAGCCTCCCGAGTTCAAGCGATTCTCCTGCCTTAGCCTTCCGAGTAGCTGGGATTACAGGTACGCCACCACGCCTGGCTAGTTTTTGTATTTTTAGTAGAGATGGGGTTTCGCCATGTTGGCCAGGCTGGTCTGGAACTCCTGACCTTAAGTGATCTGCCCGCCTCGGCCTCTCAAAGTACTGGGATTACAGGCGTGAGTCATCGCGCCCGGCGAATTCCTGTATTTTCATACTCAATTGGATTTTACATTAGGGCCTTGAATCCTGAGTATAATTTTGTACTCAAATATAATTTATAAATAAGGCCTTAGCCGCCCAACAAGGTCAAACTAACTAAAAAATAAGTCCTCTCAACCACTGACATTCGCAGCTCCAGCCCTCCGGGCTAAGTAGGGTCTGGCCTCACAGAGGGTCTCGGGGAGCCCGGAGACGGGACAGTTCCCGGAGCCGCAGGCCCTGCCCTCCAGCTTCGCTAGGGTCAGCGGCAGCGCCACGCCGACTGGCGGGCTGGGCTGGGCGCGCGGCGGCCCGGCGCCCACTTCCGCTTCCCGTGCGGGGGGCGGCGGCAGGGCCGGTGGGCGGCGGCGGCGGCGGCGGCGGCTCCGGGTCCCGGCCCGGGCGCGGCCCCGCGCAGCCCGCCCCCCGGCCGCAGGGGCGCTCCTGAGCTTGGCGGGGCGGCCGCCGGGGCTGCCTGCGCGGAGGGCGGGGCGGAGGGCCGGCCGCGGCCGACGTGGGTGTTAAGTGGCCGCCCGGGCCGGCGACCTGGAGCCGAGAGCTGGCGGCGGAACCTGAGCGGGACGCGGCTACGCCGGCGCGGCGGTGAGCGCAGCCCGGCCCGGCGCCTGCAGCTGCGGGGCGCTCGCGGGGCGGAGGGAGCGGGGCGCGGGGCGGGCCGCGGCGTCCGGGCGGCGTGACCTTCCCGGGCGGCTGGGGAAGCGGCCAGCGCCGCCGCGCACGTGCCGCTGGACCCCTCCCCGCCCCCGGGTGCCCCGCCGGGGTGGCCGGAGGATCTCGGGGTCGTGGGCCTTCTTCCCGCAGTGTCCCCACCTGGTGGGAACTTCTGTCCGCCTTTGCCCCCAAGTCGTGTCATTCGGCCGCCGGGGCGCCGGCGCTGGGCAGCACGGAGCGGCTTCTGAATGGAGACTCGCGGGCTGCCCGAGAGTGGGCGGCTGGGCAGGGGCGGAAAGCGTTCAGCGCCGGGCAGAGAAAGTTGGAAGTCGTCTTTTTAACCTGTCTTTGCGAGGCCCGGGAGGAGACGCGCCTAGCCGGGTCCTTGGCGGCAAAACCGGTTTGCATCCCGGCGCCTTACAGCCCGTGCTCTGGGGACTGGATGGCGAGCTGGCCGGCGCCTGCTACCGCCCAGCTTTAGCCAGAAGCTGGGATCTTCCCGCAGCAGTTCGTGTTCCCTGGTGGAAAATGCAGCCTCATCTACTGACTCTCAACTCCAAAAAAAAGTTAATTTCCCCAAGGATCGAGAAGAATGGGCGGTTGGCGCTGTTGTTCCTCAGTCGCACCCTGGTGTAATTTGAGAGAGGGGTCAAAGGCGCTGAAAAGATTCTTTTTTCTATTCCAAGTGCTACAGCAAGCTCATAAATCCATTTTAATTCATGCCCAACAGTCTTGCCTCCTCCAAGCCCTGTGTCTTCTCCGAGCCAGAGCTACACACAATGTGAATTAGTTGCCTACTCCTTCTGAGTAAATCTGTTAGTACCCATCATCGTTTTCTATCCTAATAATTCTACTAGTGGCTATTTGCAGAATTAATTAATTTATTTGTTTTTTGAGACAGAGCTTCGCTCTTGTTGCCCAGGCTGTAGTGCAATGGCGCCATGTCGGCTCCCCGCAGCCTCCACCTCCCGGGTTCAATTGATACTCCAGTCTCAGCATCTCGAGTAGCTGGGATTACAGGCATGCACTATCACGCCCGGCTAATCTTGAATTTTTGGTAGAAACAGGGTTTCTCAATGTTGGTCAGGCTGGTCTCGAACTCCCAACCTCAGGTGATATGCCCACCTCGGTCTCTCAAAGTGCTGGGATTACAGGCGTGAGCTACCATGTCCGGCCTATTTGTAGAATTTAATGTGTTTAAGTTTGGCTCACCTAACGGGGTTGAATTCACATGGACAGATGGAGTGCAATGTGATGTGACTTTCCTTCAAAGTGAAGAAGGAAGTGTCTGTGCCAAAAGAAATAAGTGCATTGAGGTTTATCTGGGAGGCCTCACTGGACTTGCCCGTCTGTCTTCTTAGTTGCCTCCTTTTTTTTCTTCCCCTAAAATGCACGGTTGGGTGTTTTATGTTGCTTTTGGCCAGGTTGAAATAGTCAGATTAAATGTTGGTTTGTAGGCACAGACCTGAAAGGGCAGGACTTTGAACTGAATCATCTGTCGCTGACTAGCTGTGTGGCCTTGGATAAGACTTTGTCTCAGTCCAGGCCCCTTGCCTTCTAGAAAGGGATTAGGACCCTGATAAACTTTTTTAGGAAGATACCAGATGGCCACCACCTTTTCAGCCTAGTAAATGGTCCTGTCTCTCCAAATCTATCAACAGCATATAAATCGGTGTCTTGCACTTCTAACTTAGTTGCTTTATTAAGTACTGTGCCTTTGTTGCCACTGGCTTTAAGTTTTTTGTAAATAAAGGAAGATTATTGAAGTCTGATCATTGGCAAAATGCTTCAAGAAGTTGAAAAAACTTCTCCGTGGACAATGTCTTCTGTTGATGGATGACATTGGTGTTAGGAAGGTACTTGGTACTTGGTGTTCATCTCTGATCCAGCACTACAGGTCACTCGGCTCCTCAGTGTGATGAGGAATAAATTATTCCTTATTATTCACAAATAAGTTAGTGACACCTTTTGAAAATTATACAGAATTAGTTGTTGAGTTGGTGTCAACATTTATTAAGCCCCTGCCTCAGCAGTAGTTGACTTTTGTCAAAAGGGAGAGAAAGAAATTCTAGTTTTCCCCACATCCAAGGCTCCGACCGAAACATACTGAATCAAGATTTCCAGAAGAAAGTCCTGGCAATTTGGATATTTAAGAAGTGCTCTAGGTTATCAAGCAATTTGGACTCAATGACCCAGGTATTATATCTCTAAGTGTGAGTTTGTGGACTGGCAGTTGCCACCTCACTTGGGAGCTCATCAAGACAGGCAGAATCTCTGGTCCTGTCCAAGGCTATTGAATCAGAAGCTGCGTTTTATTTAGCAAGGCCCCCAGGCAACTGCTGTGCACGTTTACAGTTGAAGGGCTAGTGGAGTGTGGTGATAGGAACATGTTTGGTGCTCTGTGCAGGGCCTTGCTCTAAGAACACCTGATGCTGTGCACAGTGGTGCATCCCACCGGTCCCATGTGGCTTTTTGTGATATCCTTTGTTTGATAATGTTTTTATTATTCACTTTGTACAGATGAGGACTCCTAGCTGTAGAGGCTGAAGGGGCCACGTTGCCAGGTAGAGCAGGCATTCACCAAGGCGTGTGTCATCATGGGTGCAGCTCCCATCCTTGGCTGCCTGGGCGCTCCTTTCCAGTCCTAATGTCTTGTGACATCCCCTAAGGCATCCAGCACAGGCTGCTGTCTGAACTTAGAACTGAGCCTGTTCAATTGATGGCTTAACGTAGGCCTCTTAAAATACAAGTCTGATGTGGTTTGGTACATCTGTGATTGGTTTACTTATTTGGTGTTCCTTTTTTCAGTCTTCAGAAAGGTTGGTTGAAGCGCTGCTGGTGGCTGTTGCATTGATACACAGGGAAGCTTTTTGATCTGTGAGCTTTCTAGAGGGCAATTGCTAAGTTGCACCGAAACCCTGAGCCTCTTTCTTTTGGAGCAATGTAGAGCCCAGTTCATGGCTCCCAGAAGTTTAGGTTCAGTAATTTGGCTGCAGGCCTAGAGAACAGGAAGCTGCAGACTTGGACTAATGGTGAACTCTTGTCTCCTCCCAGGGATATGTGGTGCCTGTCATAAGCTCCAGAGAGCTGCCTTCCACGGAAACCAGCAGAAGAGTGGGCAAATATGAAGTCCAATCCCGCTATCCAGGCTGCCATTGACCTCACAGCGGGGGCTGCAGGTACAGTCATGTGCCACATAACCATGTTTCTGTCAGTGATGGACAGCATATCTGATGGTGGTCCCATGAGATTATACCAGCATATTTTTACTATACCTTTTCCGTGTTTAGAGACTTTTAGATACACAAATACCACTGTGTTACGGTTGCTTACAGTATCCAGTACAGTAACATGCTGTGCAGGTATATAGCCTAGAAGCAGCAGGCCACACTGTTCAGCCTAGGTGTGGAGTAGGCTATGCCATCTAGGGTCAGTATGTATGCTCTATGATAGCACAGTGACAAAATTGTGCAACGACGCAGTTTTCAGAACATGTCCTGATCATTAAGCAACGCCTAACTATAATCCCAGAGAAAACCCAGTCTTCTCCATTCCTCAGGCACCTTCTAAATGAGATCAAATGAAAGTGGTATGAAAATATTACCTTTCTCCCTCCAGAAGCGATGTGCGTTACCTTTGGGATGAATGCATTTGATGGAAGTGTAATATTGTTCAGAGCGTGGCAGAAGGTGGAGGCAGAACGTGTCCATTATTGTTAATACCTTCTGAGTCAGGGTGAGGGGTGGAATGTACCCACTACAGCTGGAAAACAGCTCAGAGGTGAAGCCCCTTGTCCACTGTCACCTGGCTGGGATGTGCAGGTGGCGTGGTTCTTCACTTCAAGCCTGGCAGTCTTCAGAGCCCTTGTAGTGCAAAAATAACACCGTGGCGTCTCCTGGAAACACCACTTACTGTCACTGCTAGTGTTGGGAAAGAAAGGACACTCTTTAGAAACGTCTTTAAAAATGAGACTGATAATGGACTGTGTCTTAGAGCCATGAAAGGAGAGGAGAAGTTGTAGGATTTGCTGGGAATGTCAGCTAACCTGAGCCTAGGGCCTGAGCCCAAGGGCAGGCTGAGGCCCCCCCCGGCACAGGGAGGTGCTGCCTGGGACAAGGGGGTAGTGCTGGCACTGTGCAGGCTACTCCTTAGATCAGCTTAAGGCTGGGCGCAGTGGCTCACCCCTGTAATCCCTGTACTTTGGGAGGCCGAGGTGGGTGGATCATGAGGTCAAGAGTTCAAGACCAGCCTGGTCAAGATGAAGAAACCCCACTTCTACGAAAAATACAAAAATTAGTCGGGCGCGGTGGCAGGCATCTGTAATCCCAGCTACTTGGGAGGCGGAGGCAGGAGAATCATTTGAACCCGCTCGGCAGATTGCAGTGAGCGGAGATTACGCCACTGCACTGCGGCCTGGGCAGCAGAGTGAGACTGTCTCAAAAAAGAAAAAATAAGATCAGCTTGAACATGCAGGAAGAGCAAGGCCCTCAGGCTGAGGCGTGTGGTGGAATGGGAAGTGCATGGTGGTAATTTAGTTCTCCAAAGTCCAGAAGCAGGAAGAGTGGCTGGAATGCTGATTGCCCAGAGGGAAACCCTGGACTACCCTGGCCTCCTAGATCTCATAGTAGTTGCAGCTCCCTGGAGTAGGGAGGCAAGAGGAGGTGTTGCCTAGTGCTCTCCCTGTCCAACATACCTCCCCACTGACCACCAACAGATGAGTATGGTCACGAGTGTGGTCACCTCATCAGTCATTTGCTCAGTTGTGAAAAAGAAATTGTTCAGAGAAGTGCCAAGTGTTTTTCCATGAGCCAAAGGTCAGCCAAGGTATGCTAATGAGGAAGATTGGAGAGAACTCATCCTAGTCGCTGATAAGGAGCCCTGGGTAAGAGCACTTCTCCCAGGGCAGAGCCCGCAAGGAGCGTCCGGACCCCAGACACTCAGGGAACTGAAGGCTGGCAGGGGTCCGCCCAGTAGTCTCTAGTCCACTGCATGCCTTTAGGCTACAGCCTCCCAGGCCCCTCCGCCCTCCCCCACGCCACACTGGGGAGGACGCTGACCCTGAGAATGGTGCAACCATCTGCCTGCCCCTGGCTGCTTCTCGCCAGCACATGAATGCTCTTTGAGCTCAGTTCTATGTCTGCAGTAGGAGGGTGTTTAGCCACATGAGAGAGTCTCCCTTTTTGACATTTTATGTCTTTTTAGGCAGTCTGTCAAAGATCTAGAACCTATTGTGATAGAATTAAAAAGTTTATCTTTGGCTGGGCAACGGTGGCTCATGCTTGTAATCCCAGCACTGGGAGGCCGAGGCGGGTGGATCACTTGAGCTCAGGAGTTCAAAACCAGCCTGGCCAACATGGTGAAACCCCGTCTCTACTAAAAATACAAAAATTAGCCAGGTGTGGTGGCACATGCCTATAACCCCAGCTACTCTGGAGGCTGAGGCAGGAGAATTGCATGAACCCAGAAGGCAGAGGTTGAAGTGAGCCAGGATTGCACCATTGCACTCTGGCCTGGGTGACACATCAAGAATCCACTAGGAAAAAAAAAAGTTTATATTTTCCCATTTATGTGCATACAGGTATTTGGGTACCACATTTAGAATTTACACTTAGTTTGAAAGATAGAAATTGCCACAGGATGGTTGTGGGCCTGGTATTTGCTGGTGGGCAAGTTTTGAACATGTATTGGGCCCTTATATGTACTGACACTTACTGTCCCCATCACTGTTGGACTGGTATTTCTCCCTGTGCTGGCGACACAGGGATGCCCCTCACCGAGGTAGAGCTGCTGTGGGTAGTCTAACCTCTGAGGACAACAAAGCCCTTTCCTTGTGGGGTAGGATGGGGAGGGGAGCGAGACACGATCTATAGGTTGGCGCTGGGCAGAGGAGGTCCCTATCAGTGACAGACACCAAAACCTCTGTTCCACTGTGAGCCTCACGGAATGCAAATGAAAGTAGATTCCCACTTTTGAGGATCTTGGAGTCTTTGAATGCTGGAGCTAGAGAGGGGCTTTAAAAGACCTTGATGGCTTGAATGCTCATTGGATATGTAGAAAAAGGCCCAGAGAGGGGCAGTTGATTTGTTCAAGGTTCCACAGCAAGATGGTGTGAAGACAGGGCAGGACTGTGGTCCCTGGGTCCCTTGTCTGGTGTTGTTACTCTTAATGTCCCTTTCCCTAATTCCACTTTCTAGAGTTTAGATGGAATAACTATGTATAATGTCAAAGTCAGGAAGTAGATCTCTTAAATATTTTCTGTAAGCCTTCTTTTGCATTTTGATGAAGCGTTAAAAGCTCCTCTTGGGTTCAGGGGGAGATGGTAAGTGCTAACCACTGGCACTTCCCATGACGCTGACCCTGTTGCAGGGTCTGAGGATATTGTAGGGTGGTTACAGTTCGTTCCTTTTCTTCCGTTTAGAATTTTTATTGAAATGATTTCATGTGGCTGGCCATGGTGGCTGACGCCTGTAATCCCAGCATTTTGGGAGGCCGAGGCAGGAGGATCATTTGAGGCTAGGGGTTCAAGACCAGCCTGGCCAACATGGTGAAACCCCATCTCTATGAAAAGCACAAAAATTAGCCAGGCATGGTGGTGGATGCCTATAATTCCAGCTACTTGGGAAGCTAAGGCACAGGAATTACTTGAACCTGGGAAGCTGAGGTTGCAGTGAGCTGAGATTGTACTGCTGCACTCCAGCCTGGGCAACAGAGTGAGACTTCATCTCAAAAAAAAAAAAAAAAAAGAAAAGAAATGATTCTGTGCAATGTAGACTTTGCTGTATTTAATATTCTCTCTCTCTCTCTTTTTTTTCTTTTTGAGACGTAGTTTCACTCTTGTTGTCTAGGCTGGAGTGCAATGGCATGATCTCGGCTCACTGCAACCACCGGCTCCTGAGTTCAAGCGATTTTCCTGCCTCAGCCTCCCGAGTAGCTGGGATTACAGGCATGTACCACCACGCCCGGCTAATTTTGTATTTTTGGTACAGACAGGGTTTCTCCATGTTGGTCAGGCGGTCTTGAACTCCTGACCTCAGGTGATCCGCCTGCCTCAGCCTCCCAGAGTGCTGGGATTGCAGGCATGAGCCAGCTGCTCCTGGCCTTAATATCCTTATAAAAGTATATAAATAAAGGATTTAAACTAAGAATAAATAAATTTCAGTCCATTCTCTATCTAAATACATGTTATTAATTGGTAGAGTTCAAATGAGATTTTTCTGTAGAGTGAAATATTTCGCTCTTTGGGGATTAATTAGCCAGACTCCTTGTTTCCTTTCCATGGTGCTGGGTCTGATCAGTCCCACTGGGCATTAGGCAAAGTGAGTGATGAAGGCTTCCCAGGTTTCCCCTCTTTCTGTGGCTTCCGTCTCTTGCACACACAGTAACTGTTGGTTATTAACCACTTATGTAGCTGGCGCTGTGCTAAGCCTGTCTTCTCCATTTTTATTTAATCCTCGCGCTAACCCTGTGAGGTGGCATGGATGAGGAACTGAGGCTCAGAAGTTACACGGCTTGTCAGGATCTCGCAGCAAAGCCATAGTTCCTCTGACGCTCTTGCCCAGGCTCCTGCATGCTCACTGCACTGTTGCACCCTGGGCCTGCCTCTCTCCCCTGCCTGGCAGGAGCTCTTTCAGGGTGGGATTTAGGTGCCAGGCACATTAAGGACCTGCTATACGTTGTTTACTGGACATGCTGGAAGGTTTTGGAGGAAAAGAGGTTGAAAAGAACTGAAGCAGAGGTAAGTTTTAGGGCCTGTGCGTTCTTTCCATGGATAATGAAACCAGAGCCTCATACTAGAGCAGTCTTCTGTCCTGATTCCAGGGGGCACAGCATGTGTACTGACTGGGCAGCCCTTCGACACAATGAAAGTAAAGATGCAGACGTTCCCTGAGCTGTACCGAGGCCTTACCGACTGCTGCCTGAAGACTTACTCCCAGGTGGGCTTCCGCGGCTTCTACAAGGGGACCAGCCCAGCACTCATCGCCAACATTGCCGAGAACTCCGTCCTCTTCATGTGCTACGGCTTCTGCCAGCAGGTGGTACGGAAAGTGGCTGGATTGGATAAGCAGGCAAAGCTGAGGTGAGTCAAGGACACACACTTTTTTTGTTTGTTTTTTAAAAAACACAAAACTGGCTAGGCATGGTGGCTCATGCTTGTAATCCCAGCACCTTGGGAGGCAAAGGCAAGAGAATGGCTTGAGGCTGGGAGTTCAAAACCAGTGTGGGCAACATAGCAAGATCCCTGTCTCTACAAAAATCAGAAATTAAAATCTGGCCAGGCACAGTGGCTCACGCCTGTAGTCTTAGCACTTGGGAGGCCGAGGTGGTTGGATTGCCTGAGCTCAGGAGTTCGAGACCAGCCTGGGGAACACGGTGAAACCCTGTCTCTACTAAAAATACAGAAAATTAGCCAGGCATGGCGGCATGTGCCTGTAATCCCAGCTACTTAGGAGACTGAGACAGGACAATCGCTTGAACCGGGGAGGCAGAGGTTGCAGTGAGCCGAGATCCTGCCATTGCACTCCAGCCTGGGCAACAGAGCAAGACTCCGTCTCAAAAAAAATAAATAATAACAAAAAAAAATTTTTTTAATCTGTTGTGACAGTTTTACTGATGCCTTATGTGGAGGAACATTTCCCTTTTTTTTAGTTTTTTTTTTTTCCTTTTTTTGTTGTTTTTAATTTTTTTTTTTTAATATTCTCAGTCTTATTTCCTTTTTAAAAACATAACTGCTTTCCTTTTATTTATGAAGTTATACATTGCCATTATATAAAATTTGGAAACCACACGTGCAGTCCATGAAGGAGACCTGCTTATAATGCAGCACCGAGAACGAACTGCGCTTCTGTTTCCGTTTTCTTCAGGAGAATGCTGTTCAAATGCCGCTGGCAGTGCTACCTTTCATCAGCAGACATGCTGCACTAAAACCATAGACGCCGCTTGTGATCCAAGTTTTAGCCTTTCTTTCATAAGCAAAATGCAGAGAGCATTGGAAGAGTTTGAGCCAGATAGATTTGAGGAGTTTTAGGAGGGGTCAGAAATGTCTGAGAAGACGCCAGGGAATCCACCTTTCTCTGTACAGATCCCCCCAAAACATGAGACTTTGGCTCGTGCTTGGTCTTGCCTTGGGTGTTTCTTATATAGAGACTAAAGAGAATTTGGAAATCACTGGGATGCTTAGCTCTCCCTCCTTTGAACATTGATTTATTTTAAATCACATAAAATTATGATATAAGCTTCAGGGTTGCAAAGGGCAGTCTCATTTATTTCAGTAGGAGTTCGAAACCCGATTGCAGCTGCAGGACCCACACAACTGAATTTGGTTCCTTGCGTTCAGCAGTGTTCTCTGGAGGTGCCTGGAGGTCTGAGGGTGTGGCGTTTTATAGGCAGGAATTCCACCATGATGGGTAGAGCTTGGTTTTTTTAAAGGCTTGGGACTGGATACGATTGCCCATGAAGACAGTATAGATAGCGAGGAGGGCTGAGTGTGGATGGGATGACCCTCCAGCACAGAAGGGGTAGGCAGGAAGGCAGTAAAGAAACGAGCAGGGCACAAACCAGGAGAGTGTGGCATGTCATGATGGAGACTGAACAGAAGCAAAACCACAGGCGACTGTAGTTTTGTTCCTTGTTGAAGGAGAGATACTCTATTAGAGAAGGCCTGGACTTGAGTTCACCTTTCTTGCAAAGGACAAAATGGGGAGAGAAGACAGGGATGCGGTGAGCAGCCATGTGAGATTCTGGAGAAGACCTCTGTCCTCTGAGCAAAGCAGCCTCTCCCCCCACAGGATAGACAGTGACTTCGGTCTTGCATGAGTGAAACCATTGGGGATCTGGCCCTGCCTCCCCCTCCACTTTCTTGTTTCCTTATCCTGTGAACAAAGTGAAGGACAGGTAAGAGCATATTGTTTTTCTGCTGAGAACAATCTAATACCTTATAGCTGCATTTCCCCACACTGCTTTCAGAACACTGAATTGCTGGGGTCCTTAAGAAAGGGTTGGGAAATACGTCACAGTGTCTCTCTCATGAAGAATCACTCTGGATACATTTATTTTATGTAATGTATGTGTTATTTAGTTCATTAACGATGCCTAAGACTGGGCACAGTGGCTCACGCCTGTAGTGTCAGCACTTCGAGAGACTGAGGTGGGCAGATTACTTGAGCCCAGGAGTTTGAGACCAACCTGGGCAACATGGCAAAAGCCCGTCTCTACAAAAACTACAAAACTTACCTGAGCATGGTAGCACACGTCTGTGGTCCCAGCTACTGGAGAGGCTAAGGTGGGAGGATTGCTTGAGCTCAGAAGGCAGAGGTTGCAATGAGATGACGCCACTGCACTCTAGCTTGGGCAACAGAGGAAGACCCTGTCTCTCAAAAAAAAGATACTTGGATGTTTTGCAGTAAAGAAAGCATCCCGATTAACCTTATCTAATCCAGCACTCATGTTTTTTGAGCTTGGGGCCTTTTTTTTTTTTCATCCTGAGGAACAGTGTTTGCCTCTTACCTGTTGGGGAAATGCTCCCTTAGAGTCTACAAAGTTCTGACCTGTATATCGTGTCTCCATAGCCCTCACCGTGGTCCTGTGAGAGCAGCAAGGCAGATGTTACCTCTCTCTTACGGATGGAGGAACTGAGGTGCTGATATTGACATGCCCATGGTCACCCAGCCAAGGACTTGAACTCGCGTCCTCTGAGCCCCTGCCCAGTCGCCTTTCCGTCAGACCACAGTTGGGGGTCTGGAATATTTTGTAAGGGTCAGTTTTAGAGAGAAGATTAATCGGGAGCAGTGAAAGGAAAGAGCTGCTTGTGAGAGCCTGTGGTGAATTTCTGCAATCACATTGTAAATATTTGTCTGTTCCTGGTTTCAGCATGTCCCAGAGTGTTGTTCTACTTTGATGTTTGGCTGGACAGGGTCTTACACAGCAGGATTGCTCAGGTACATGTTTGTTGAATAGATGACGAACGGATACTTCTTAGAAAAAAAATCCCATCCTATACCTATAACCATTGCAATTCCAGTTCTACACATTTATACTACATACAGAACCAGGGGCCCATGCACCTCATTCTGTGCACCAGTCGTTGAAAGTATTCATTAGAAAGCCAAAGTCCACTGCATATCTGATTTGGCCGTGTCCTTGCACTATAATAATGTGCTTGGTGTTTGTTCGGATGTCTGAGCATTATTATATTTTAAACTCAACAGACTTCTACATTTATTGACTGCCACCTTTGTCCTGGCAAACCTGGCAGACCCTGATTAATGCCCTTAATTGACTATTGCCTGTCAGCAGGTTAACAGAGTGTCCCTGAGGGAGGCCAACTGTGGATCTGAGGCTAGCTGAAAGACAGCAGAAACCATTTTAAGCTTTGGTTCTAACAGGCTGCTAAGGAGTGAAGTGGGGGGAAGGAATGGTCTGGACGGCATTGGATGGTTTCTACACCCCATAAAAGTGTATGCAAGTACATTTGTGTACCTGGTTCTCCTTTGTTAATGGTTTTAGTCTTAATTCTCTAACATCAATAGGAAGTCCATACTGCAAGCCATGCCTTCCTCCTGAAAGAAACCCCTACTCCAAGCCAAGCCTTCTGAAAGACTTGGGTGTATCTGAGGCCAGCTCAGCCTCTGGGAAACTCCCCTTGCAGCTGGCCATGGCACAGAAGCTGGACCACCAGGGACTAGCAGAGCAGGGCCAAAACTGGGGACTACCTTGATTTTATACTAATCTGTAACACTGGTAAAACTTCAGTACTCCTGAATATGGTAGCTCTGTCTGTACTTTGCTCACAGTTTAGAGAAAAATTGTTAGGGGATTATATGTCTACCTAGGTAGTTAGCCGAGGAGATTCCCACCCACCCTTGGAGGTTTTTGGAAATCTGTGAGGGTGATCGTGGCTGTTGAGTGAGAGCATGATGCTGGCGTTGAATGGGTGTCAGGGAAGCAGTTCAGTCCTTCCTGCCCAATGAAGGATTGTCCCAGCCCAAATACCAGTCATGATCCTGTGACACAAAACTCTTCTGTGGCTGGAAGTGATCTGTCTTGACCCCCATGAACCATGAACTCCCAGAGAAGTCTTTCTTCTGAAAAACTTCTCAGACTTTTCCCCATATTCTTTTTTGTTTTTTTTCTGAAACAGTCTCACTGTCACCCAGGAGTGTAGTAGCACAATCTCAGCTCACTGCAACCTCCACCTCCCCAGTTCAGGTACTTCTTGTGCCTCAGCCACCTGAGTAGCTGGGATTACAGGCATTCACCACCAAAAATACGCCAATTTTGTATTTTTAGTAGAGATGAGGTTTTGCCATGTTGGCCAGGCCTCAAGCGTTCTGCTCGCCTCGGCCTCCCAAAATGCTGGGATTACAGATATGAGCCATCGTGCCTGGCCTCCCCATATTCTTGAACTCTTACTGGATTCCAGTTTCACAGCCCTGCTGGTGACCTTTGGTTGCTGGTACCAAATCCATATGTGAGGTGGATGCTTCTATTTTTGTATTTGTGTGCATTTATCCCTCTGCCTAGTGCAGATTTCCAGTTTAGCCATTTTACCTAATACCATCGAGCTTGCAGACTTGTACTGGCTTCACCCACTCCTGTGGCACCATTTTACCCTCTTCTGTGCTGCTGAGGTGGTTGGTCATCAGCTGAACTGGAAAATCTTTTTGCGATGCAGCAACTTTTGATTAAAAGCTTACTCTGGGTTTTCATCTGTGGTAGTTAACATCGCACCGGTTGCTCCAGGTTGGACTCTGGGCATGTAGGGATGGCCTTAGAACCTAGTTTTATTTAAAACTTAGAGCAAATGCACTGAAGTATTAATAGGGCATGTTTTTCAGTGGGGGGCTATGGGTAATACTTTCCTCCTTTCCTTTAGGTTTTTTTGTGGAGTTTTATTTTGTCATGTCACGATGTATCTTGGCTTTGGCTGCTGTAGCAGAGTACTACAGACTGAGTGGCTTAAACAAACACTTCTCACAGTTCTAGGGGCTGAAAAGTCTAAGATCAGGGTTCCAGCAGATCTGCTATCTGGTGAGGGCTTGTTCTTCTTAATTTGAACGTAGCCGTCTTCTCACTGTGTCCTCACATGGCAGAGAGTGAGCCAGCTCTCTGGCTTCTTCTTCTAAGGGCACTAATCCCATCACAATGGCCCTACCCACATGACCTCATCTATACCTCATTACTTCCAAAGGCCCCATCTCCTAACATCATCACCTTGCGGGGACAAAAGTCAGTCCATAGCGCCGTGTGTAATAAAAAGAATATGGATGTTGCCGTCAGGAAGACCTGACTTCACATCCTAGCACTTCTACTTAGTAGCTGTGTGACTGGCCACATTGTGTGTCATCTCTGAGCGTCACTTCCCATAGGGAATTGGGGTACTGCTGTCTGCCTCACAGGGTTGTGGGATCCACAGATGAAACAGCACATGCAAGTTTCCTTCCTTTCATCATTTTTTTAGACACAGAGGTCTCTCTGTGTTGCCCAAGCTGGAATGCAGTGGCTATTCGCAGATGCAATCACAGCACTGCAGTCTAGAACACCTGGGCTCAAGTGATCCTCCCACCTCAGCCTCCTGAGTAGCTGAAATCACAGGTTCATGCCCTGATGCCTGGCTCCTTACCCTGCATTATCATAAAAGTGCCATCCATGTGGTAAGTGCTAAAGGAATGAAGAAACTGAGGGGTAGCTGTCTGCTTGTGTGCTTTCAGTGATCTGCAGAACGCAGCTGCTGGTTCCTTTGCCTCTGCCTTTGCTGCACTGGTGCTCTGCCCCACAGAGCTCGTGAAGTGCCGGCTGCAGACCATGTATGAGATGGAGACATCAGGAAAGATAGCCAAAAGCCAGAAGTAAGTGCCACTCGGGCAAAAACGTCAGGTCTCTATTGCCCTAGTGTATTGGATGTTTTTTCATTTTATACTGTTGTAGATGTGGAAGCCGATTTATCTACTCCAAAATACTGTTTCTAGAATGCTTTCCCATATCAGTCAGAGATTTTCTGAAAGGATTGTCTGTGATTGGACCTACCACCCATCTCCTAGAAAGTCTTAGACAGATATTTAACACCCCAGAACTGGAGAAGCCAGGAGCTTAATACCCTTTTGGCCTCTTGGAAACATAAGGCATGATCTTCAACCATTTTTGGAGGTAGATGGTGGGTGGCTTTTGAACTTGGCCTGAGACCTGAGCTTTCATAAGTGCCAATTTGGATTCTGAGATGAGTATTTGATGCTCACTCCCAGGTTTTACATGGGTATTCAGGCTGATTGCCCCAGATCCTAGAGGTAACTTTCCCTGCCCCGCTTACCCTTAGTCCTTCAAGTACACCTACAAAGTTCTGAGAACATTAATCAGTACCTTTGTAAGCAGAGCTATTCTTAAATCATTAAATCACTCTCTAGCTCAGTCTTGAAAACATTCTCATCCTCTGAGAGTGCTGTGTCATACACAATTTGATTTACTTGAATTGGAAAGTATTATCTTTATTAATTGCAAAACTTGCATATTTATCTTGACATCTGGCTGAGTTCTGAGCAAGGATATTGCTGTGGTTAACTCAAAGCCTATAAATCTGCTGGAAAAGATCAGTAGATAAATTGACCATTTTCAGGGATCAGTCCCCACTCAGTGAGAATGGGGTTGGAAGAGTGCCCTGTTTTCTGCACCCTTGAGATTCATTACAACCAACTTGAATCTAACATTCATTGCCTACAAGTCCAAGAGTGTAAGTCTTTAAAACTTCTTGTTGAAATATACACGTAGTATCATGAATGCACATGTAAGTCACAAGTATGCAGTTCTATAAATAGTGACACAATTTATGTGCCTTTGTAACCTGTGTCTGGATTAACAAATAGAAATTAACAGCACCCAGAAAGCTGCCCTTGTGTCCCTTGGAAGTAATTCAAGGTAATTAAAAGATAGTAATAGTTATATCCAAGGGACTCAGGCAGATGGATGCCTTGAATTATCAGTTGATTTTGTATTTGAGGTCTAGCAGTGTTCTCACAAGACATGGTATGGTAGCTTGGGGATGAGACTTGGATTGGAAGGGAGGTTAATTGTGTTGAGCTGGATTACTTTGTTACATTCCATGTAGCCATGCTACAGAAAGGGCTGGCTAATGGAGAATACCTGACAGTGCTTTCTGAAGCTCTCAGAAGGAAAGTAGTTACTAAACGTCTGTAGCCTTTATTACCTTGGGACTTGATCCTTTGTCTATCTGAGCCAAGTCCCCTGCTCTCTGAGAACAAAGTGGGGAGAGGGGGATTCATTAAGTTGCATGGACTGTGTGATTTCTTGGCCTGTTCTTAGCAGGGATAAAGCTGCCCCGGCAGCCCCCCAAAGTGTCCTGTGTTCCGGCTACTGCAGGAGCAGAGCTGTGATCTGCTTAGAATTCTCCTGCATCCCTGCTGCTCTGAGAACTAAATTCTTGATGCTTCTGCGTGACAGGTGCTATAACTTGTTCTCAGAATTTGTCTTACCTTCAAATAACATTGACTCCTTTATTCATTTCTTTGCACTAAAACGAAACAAACCCTATAAACACCTGAAGAGATTTCCCAAAAACACATCAGAAAGATTGAGGAAATAGGAATCACGGTGATAAGGGACCGGGCAATACAATACCATTTTATGCTTGCTGAGTTTAGACAACTCCTTATTATAAATAAATTGTAGTTTTCATATATCCACTACTGAAAAAATGTGTATTAGCTTTTATATCTTTGATAATCTGACTTGTAGAAACGTTGCCTCTATTTTAATAAAATTTCTTTACCAATAATTTAGGTGACAAAACTTGTTATAATTATGCCTCTCCGAGACATTTCGTTCCCACAGAAGATGGCTTTTAGTCTCAATTCCTGGCTCTTCATTTATAAAATCAGCTGCTTCCTTACTAGTGGTTGATCAGATCTGTGAATTGGTTGTAAATGCCCTTGTCCATTCTTCCTTCCCACCTGCTATAACTGAGTCTGCCTCTCTGTGTCTCCTAGTACCGTGTGGTCTGTCATCAAGAGTATCCTTAGGAAGGATGGCCCCTTGGGCTTCTACCATGGACTCTCAAGCACTTTACTTCGAGAAGTACCGGGCTATTTCTTCTTCTTCGGTGGCTATGAACTGAGCCGGTCATTTTTTGCATCAGGGAGATCAAAAGATGAACTAGGTAAATGTGTCTGCGCGACTGCGGTGGGTTATGATGGTGTCTGCTCCCTGAAGGTGTGGTTTCTGTGGACTCTGCTCGTTGCGCTCTCCTCCCCACATTGGTGGCTCCATCTGGCACAGGGAAGCTTCTGGATGCCAGAAGGTAACGTGTTGGCAGGCAGTGAATAGCACCCACCCTCCAGGCTTGATAATTTCCTTAGGACAGGGGTTGTAGCAGTACATCCCAAATTTCCTTACTGGAATAAAGTTTGTTAATTTTTCTGGATCTATTTTACGGGAGAAGAAGTCCAAAAATTACTTTCCCAATTGGGGAATCACCTATAAATAATCCTGAAATAAGCTTAAAACTCGACCATCTTAATAGTGTTTTGAGAGCAGTGAAAACCATAGTTCTTTGTAGCTTATCATGTTTAGCTGGTTGGTACAACTACATGCAATGTTGGGCTCACATAAGTGAGTGAGTTTTTATCATCATCTCCCTCAGTATGTTGAGTCTGTTCTGGGGTTAGTCAAGCTCCCAGACTTAACTGCTATGTTAATAAAAACAATTTTGGCTTTTAATGGTAAAGGAAGAATCAGGGCTATTAAAATACTTAAGAGTGAGAAAGTTGAAAAAGCCGTAGATTGTGTTTGGCCTGTCTTCTCCCTACTGGAAGGGGTTGCCACCCAGCTGGAGGCCTGCTGGTTTCCGTGGGCCAGCCCTTGACACCTCAGTGACCAAACTAAATATAATCCTCACTAGAGTTTCTTGTACTTGGCAAGACCCAGGGGTAGACCTGGGCTACCAAACAAAACCTTGAATTCTTAGAGCTTGGTAACAAGAGCTTTGACAGCTTCCTCAAAGAACTGTATTCTGCAGCATTAGCATTTCTGTTTACACCCACCTGCAGCGATTACTACATTGACCTCTGGAAGTGTCACATCAGCTGTTCTTGAGACAAAATACCATTTGCTATTTTTTTTTTCTCTAGGCCCTGTGCCTTTGATGTTAAGTGGTGGAGTTGGTGGGATTTGCCTCTGGCTTGCGGTATACCCAGTGGATTGTATCAAATCCAGAATTCAAGTTCTTTCCATGTCTGGAAAACAGGCAGGATTTATCGGAACCTTTATAAATGTTGTGAAGAACGAAGGTGAGTAAACACCTGTTTTTCCAGCATCTAGTGTACATCTTAACATCTCAGATATGAACTTGTTTTGATTGTAAAAAGAAAGAGGACAGTAACACAGAAACTTTGTGTCTCAAATAGAGCACAGATACCTTGTCTATTACTCATTGTAGTAGACTCCCTTCTATTTGTATAACATGTAAAGTTTTACAAAGGACTTATACTTCCCTTATCTAATTCAATCTTCATAATCACCCTGGGCAGTACTAATACTATAAACAGGTCTCCAGCTTCAAGGTTGGTGCTCTTGTCACTGCCCAGATGAAACTGCAGAGCTGCTGCCACCTCCGTCTGGCCATCTCAGCCTCAACTCTGCTCCATCCATGTACCAAGAGTTAATCAAGCATGGAATTGGTGTATGTTACCTGAGCATCAGTCAGTTTTCCCAGGAGACCTGATGCTTGTCCTTGTTTTTGTTAGTCTATTTAGGGAAAGCTGGAAATGTGTCCTTTCATGACTTGGCTTTTAGCGCTTTGCCTGGATTTGCATGTGTAAATATACCTGTGCTATGCGGCTGCATGGGGATCCCCAAAGGAGGGATCCTTGCAGTCTTTTTGATTGCCCTTTTATCTTCTAGGAATAATGGCCTTATATTCCGGACTAAAGCCTACTATGATTCGAGCATTCCCTGCTAATGGAGCACTCTTTTTGGCCTATGAATATAGCAGGAAGTTGATGATGAGCCAGTTGGAAGCATACTGAAGTGTCCTGGTGGGGCTGAGCCAAGCACAGGTGTCCGAGGACTACAGTTCATCTCAGGGTTTCCTGGAGTACAAGATGAGCATGAAGTTATTCTGATTTCTTGAGAATTTTGCTTTTTGTCTTCCCTTCTACCCTACATCTTAAACTTTACGGAAGAACCTCTATTTTGCATCATACCGTTTCTGCCAAAAATTGTACTGAAATAGAAAAGTCACTGCTCTTGCCCTTGGTAAAATATAGAGTGGTCAGTAACCTTATACACCTAATTCAAAAGGCCGAATATAGTTCTGTCAGGGCTTTTATGTAAACCTCTACTTATATATGCAATTTGGACAGTTATGTGTTGAGGGAAATACAGTTTGGTTCCATGTTTATTATTTCAAATATTATCAGAAAAACCCAGAGGTGATATTTCTCATGAAGATGCTTATAAATGGTTGTTTAACCCATTCTAGATGTAGGGTCTACTTAATGTGTGTACTATTCTAAATGGTTGTTTTTTTGTTTTGTTTTGTTTTTGTTTTTGGATATGGAGTCTTGCTCAGTTGCCCAGGCTGGAGTGCAATGGCATGATCTCAGTTCACTGCAACCTTCATCTCCTGGGTTCAAGTAATTCTCTCACCTCAGCCTCCCGAGTAGCTGGGATTACAGGTATGTGCCACCATGGCCAGCTAAAATTTTTTTTTTTTTTTTTGAGACAGAGTGTCACACTGTCACCCGGGCTGGAATGCAGTGGTGCGATCTCGGCTCACTGCAGCCTCCCCCTCCTAGGTTCAAGCGATTCTTCTGCCTCAGACCTCCCAAGTAGCTGGGATTACAGGTGCCCACCACCACAACCAGCTAATTTTTTGTATTTTTAGCAGAGACAGGGTTTCACTATGTTGGCCAGGCTGGTCTTGAACTCCTGAACTTGTGATCTGCCCGCCTCAGCCTCCCAAAGTGTTGCAATTACCAGTGTGAGCCACCATGCCTGGCCAGTGGTTGAATTTTTGAAAAAGTTCATGGGGTGCTTGAAAACTAAAATATCTATCTAGATTTGTAAGAAAGTCTACCTGCATACCAGTGTGGCTTCCACACTTGAGTAAAAGTTTCAGAGTAGGCATCCTAGATTTCTCCAAGATGCTCTACTCTTAAAATAGTGCCATTCATTTTCTAGGTGGGATCGTATTCTACACTGACTATATTGCTAGGGGTGGCCTGGAGGGTCAGGCCTTTGGGAAACAGCATGGCCTTACCAGCTTCCCTTCTCCCCCAGAGAACTTCCCCTCTTGGGCTTTATATTGAGGAAGGGCTTTAGATTAAAGAGTGGTAGGTGGTACCAATGTGCTTTGATGAAAGACCCATGTGGCTAGCAACAGCTCTTACATTTTGTCTCTGGGTCCTGGCCTGGGTAGGATTCCTGGGTGTTCTGTTGGCTCATTTGGGGCCATCAATCCACTTTGGACCACTCACTGTCTGCTCTGCCTCCACCAATCAGAACACCTTCCAAGGAACAGTGAGAGCCAAAGCCAAGAGAAGCCTTGTTCCCTGTTTGGTGACTGAGTGACAGTGGGTGAAATCCTCTCTGACAGAACTAGAAAGAACTCAGTGCTTGTACTCCACAGTGAGTAATGGCAGAGCTGACTCATCCTGAAGCCCATCTTGCCATGCTTTTACAGTGTTGGAAGCTTCTGCATTTGGTACTGGCAGTCAGCTTTAATGATGACTGTATATGGGATGTGATTTACTTTTATAAAGCAATGGAACATAAGAAAAGCCTTATGTATGTATTCACTGACCAAAAATTCACTGACCAACCAACAAAACCCCATACTTCATCTGGTCCCCCATAGACTTGGGGATGGGCAGCTATTCTTTGGCCATATGGTATAAGAGGGTCATTCTTGTCATTACTAAAGTTAGTTTCATCCTTTTGTGCTGCTCTAAGACCAATAGGGTCTCTCCCAATAAAAAATATTCCTTAGCAGCCTGTAAACTGAATGCAAGCAGGCTAACAATTTTAATAATAGTCCATAACATGTGTTTCTGTCAGCAGGATGTACATGTTGTGCAAAACCTCCAGGTTCCTTAAGGTTTTTGCTGTCCATGAATCTTCTATGACAACTGTAGTCACAAAGCCAGAAGCCAGAGGGTCAGGGATGTGAGAGGCTGACAAATACTGGGGGACATCTAGGGAGGAGACCTCTGTCCTGTCATGTTTCTTGCGCTGCAGAGAGCGATTACAGCTGGTCTTCTATTTGCTTTTTCTTTAAGAGAAAACCATTTTTCTACTTTACTTTTCTCCCCATACGTAAATGGTCAGTAGCTACTGAGTGGTGCTTTTATCTGACCAGGCCTGGATTGAAGCAAAATAGAAATGGGACTGGCTTTCCACAGGAGTTAAACTGCTTCAGAGCCCACAGTCCCATGCTCAGCGCCCAGAAACTAGCCCTGTTATCAGGAAATCTTCCCACAGGCCGTCCATTAGAGATTTCACTAGATATCTTCAATAGAAATAGTCTGAGGCAAGTGGAAGTGGGGAATGGGAGAATTTTTTTTTCATTCTGTTTGCTTAATTCAGGGTACAGTTTGTGCCATTTCGTATCTGTACTCCAGGCAAAAATATAACTTGAAAATACTGTGTCTAAAGAAATTTCAGTGTTCTATCATCATTAAATTATTTACTTAATATTTGCGTCTGATGAATTTCGTTTAAGTTCTTTACATCCATGATGGGAACCAACTGTCAGGAATGTTACAGAGTTCTGTACAGCAGTGTTTCAAGGCAGTGGTTTTATATTGCAATAAGCATTGCTTTTTGTCAGCAAGACACCTGATGTAAAATAATTTCACTATAGGTAAGGTAGCAAAAACATTTCTGTGCACTGCAGTTACAGAACTTGGCCCACTAGAATTACTTTCTCCCTCTACCTCTTTCTATCTCTCTATTTATAACAATAAACTCTGCTCTTAAGTTTTGGATGATTCTATTCCAAGTTAGTAAATTCTACTTAAGAAAACAAGTATCTGAGGCGCCAAGATGGCTGACCAGAAGCAGCTGGTGTGCGCAGCTCTCCCAAAAGGAGACGGAGTGGTGAATGAACACGAGCTCTTCAGGTTGATCGTCCCACAGGCTGTGTTGGGATTCATCAAGGAAGCAGTGGTGACTCATGGCCAGCAGAGGGGAGGAAGGCAAGACAGCTGCCCACCTGGGATTGGTGCAGAGCAAGGGGTGGCTCCCTATAGCAGGGAAAGGGTGAGTGAATGAAGGTTTCTGGGGACCCACACTTCTGCCATGGACCATTGCAATCCCCTGGCACAGGAGGTCCTCCATGACTCCACCTACCCCCCACAGAGAACTACTTGGAGTCTGGGCAAAGCCACTGCTCAAGCCAATGTGGATCCCTGAGAAGCCCAGCACCAGCTGCCATAGCCTAACCAGCAAGGTAGGCCAGGTCTCTTGTGTGCCCCTAGGATAGGGGCCATATCCATGGTGCTGAGGAGTGAACAGACTGCAGGCCTCACCTCTGCTGCACCTTGCCAGGCAAGGCCCACTGACCTGGGCATCCATCGCAGCCATCCTACCCACCTGAACACTACAGCTGGTCACAGCCTTCATTTCTCTGGGATGGAGCTCCCAGGGGTAACCAACAGGCCCTCTGCACTGCTGCAGCCTGTGCTGCTGCTGCCCTCAGGCTGGAGAGGGAGCAAAAAGCCCAACAGCTGTTACAGGCCTCCAGCACACCACAGCTGCCACTTGGAAAGGCAGCCAGACCGCTTTCCACACAAGTCCCTGGCCCTGCTGCTCCTCATTGGGCACGGTGCCTCCTGGCTTGGGCCCAGCACAGGTCCTGCCTGATCACTTCAGTTGGTGGTGGCTCTGTGTTTCTCTGGGATAGAGCTCCAGAGACAACTGACAGGCCTCAGCCATTGCTGCCACCACAGTACCCGCCCTTGTTTCCTCCAGGCTAGGGAGGGAATAAAGATTACTTTCTCACAGCATCCTACAGAAAGGAGGTCAGACTTCTGGATCAGGTTGCTTGACCACCTGCTCTTCGGGCAGGACCCCCAGCTTGGGGCCAGCAGCACATTGCCCCAACCCTGGCTGACCACTCCAATTGGCTGTGGTTTTGCACTTATCTGGGGTAGAGTCTCCAGAGGCAACTGACAGGCCCTCTGCCATTGCCACTGCTGGGGTCCCACCCCTGCTCTCCCTAAACTGAGGAGGGAACAAAAAGCCTAAGCCTGCAAGATTGCAGCTTGGGAGTGCCAAGGCGAGATCTGTAGCAGGCACTAGAGCAGGAGAAGAGCCCACACTCAGTACTGAGAGGACTGAGTTACATGAACTTGTGGGCTACCACAGCAGTGGGCGTGCCTCCCTCTGCAGGGCCAGCTGGCTGGAAAACGGGTGGCCTATCTCCCTACCACAGCCTTGACAAAAGAGACATGGGCACAGTGCCATTGGTTGGAAGGGACTCCCCCAGGGCCCAGGAGCGGACCTGATGAGGTGGTCACCTCTCTTCCCACTGTACCGCAAAGCACAGCCACAAACACCAGGAAATACAAAGGCGCTATGTGGCTAAGATCCATCTACCCACCATTACTCTTAAGCGCCATCTACTGGAATTCAGCCCAAACTACAAAAATAGTTTACTAAGACCTTTCTGTAAAACCCAGGTAAGAATTCAACCACAAAGACCATGCACAGAGCCTTGGCCCTCAGAAAACACGAAGAAATGCAGCCAACTGACTATACTTAACTTACACCACAGTTAAAGGAATACCAACCCTCTCAGATGAGAAGAAATCAGCACAAGAACTCTGGCAATTCAAAAAGCCAGAGGAGTGTCTCCTTACCTCCAGTTGTTACTCCACTAGCTCCCTAGCAATGGTTCTTAGCCAGTTGGAAATGTCTGAAGTGACAGATGTAGAAAACAGAATCTGGATGGCAAGGAAGCTCATCAAGATTCAGAAGAAAGTTGGAAACGAATCCAAGGATTCCAGCAAAGTCATCCAAGAGCTGAAAGATGAAATAGCCATTTTAAGAAAGAACCAAACTGAACTTCTATAGCTAAAAAATTCACTGTAAGAATTTTATAATAAAATTGGAAGTATTAACAGCAGAACGGACTAAGCTGAGGAAAGAATCTCAGAGTTCTTCTAACTCAAACAAAAAAGAAGAATTTTAAACATGAGCAAAACTTCAGAGAAATATGGGATTATGTAAAGAGACCAAGCCTATGACTCACTGGCATTCCTGAGAGAAAAGGAGAGAGAATAAACAACTAGGAAAATACATTTGAGGATACAGTTCATGTAACTTTCCCTAATCTTGCTAGAAAGGTTGACATGTAAATCCAAGCAATGCAGAGAACCCAAGTTAGATACTATATAAGATGATTGTCCTCAAGGCACATAGTCATCAGATTCACCAAGGTCAAAGCAAAAGGAAAAAATCTTAAGCAGAAGAGAAGG